TCTGTTCTACAGATTGATGAAACTCCTAAACTCTTCATCCACTTTGAATGTGGATACCCTCAAATTAAAGCATCTGTGCTCGACACATTATGTCCATGTCCATTAAATAACTCTACTTGGAATGTGACTCAGTAAACAAGTAAAAAAACAAAAGTCAGGTCCATATATATTTGGACACTGACACAACTGTGCACCCATCTTCTTACCTGAGCTTCATCATGAGGTTTTGGGTACTACCAGGAAAAATGAAACCATGGATAGAAGCAGCTGCTGCTGTCACTACATCTCAATATATCCTGTCAAGGAAACGGATTTTGCCTTGACGGGGTGGCTGTAGTAGCTCAGGAGGTAGAGCAGGTCATCTACTGATCGTTGGATGTCTAGACATGCTAAAGGAAGGTAGAATTACCGTATTTTCCAGATTATAAGGCGCATTAAGTGAAACAAAACTCATTCTTCTTACTTCCTCTACTTCCGTACCATTGATTCATTAATGCTGAGTTCTCTATTCCCATTTTGTGGACCTGAAAACAGGGTTTGATCTTTGGTTTCATTCTATAATACTGGACTTGTGTTTCTACGAAGGTTTGAACTTTGAGAGTTTAAACAAGAGAGAAAAGTGTGAAAATGTTCGTGCCTGTCTGAGAAAAGTCTATAAAGTGTGTAGTGAGAAGTTTTACAGCCTTAAAACATCTATAATAATTGTAAAGAATTAAGTTGGCTACTTCATGGATTTCACCCATCGGAGGTTATTTTTAGAACGAAACTCCCGCGATAAGCGAGGGACCGCTGTGTAGGATACGGTACTTTGTCGTTGGATCAAAGGGACTGTCTTGCTTTAAAAAAAAGACAAAGGACAAGATTACTTAACAGTCAATGTTTAAGAGACAAAAGCACAGACGCTGGCAGTTTTATAAAACGACATTCTTTATTTACAAATTTATATTTTGCAGTAAATGCAAATTTCCTGTAAAAGACTGTTGTACTAAAACATGGTTCTGTAGCCTCTAACTGTAAAACAAGTGGGACACAGTGAGCATAAAATACATGCACATATCTGTACACTGTCACCAAAATACATCTGATTACAAAATATAGTGCTCGATACAAATATCTGGAGTTTGGATTCAGCAGATGTCTCAGATTTCACATATGCACGTGTGAAACAATCTTCCTTTGCATTTCTGTATGAAAATAAGGAGCTGTTTAAGCAAAAATAGACTCTGCCTTCCGCCTATTCTTTCACATGTACAGGTTGTGCATCTTCAGTAGCAAATACTCACTATTGGCTGAGGAAGTATTTTTCTCCAACAACAGTAAAAAAACAAACAAACCAAAACAAGAAAGAAAAACAAACAAACAAAAGCCTCAAACCAGTGCTTCAGTCTGATCAATCCTACATCTTCAAGCTAATGTCAGTGGGAGGAAAGTGAAACACTTGCAGTCAAACCAAGACGAGGAGAAAATACTACGACTATTTGCTCTCAGAGAGAATAATTAGATGGAAACTGCTGCTTCCACCTGGTATGAAGGATATATCCAGTCTCTGTGAGGTAACGTCAGAGGCAAGACAGTGAATCAAACCAGGACAGGATCTGTACTCACACTACACATGCTCACAAAGAACTATAAGTGATGCTACCGGCCCCCAGCATGCGTATGTATTTGTTGATTTGATGTGTGAGTGGCCACATAACTGAGCAGTTGCAGAAACCATGTTTCAGCTTTTATTTCAGGACGTGTCGCCTCATTTCATGGGTTGCATTTTCATTTTGGGTAAAGTCAGGAAATCTGGGATTCATTCAGTCGGGATTAGGAGAGTACTGATTATCAGTTTGCATATATAAATATATTCTTACAGCAGTCGATCTATGCAGCACTTAAATCAAAATTTTAAAATAACTGCATGCTTTTCCTGATTTTAAACCCTAACTCTGAACATAACCTGGTCTTAATCAGTTTACGTGTTTGCACTAAGATGCTAGTGATTTAACCCAGTAAAATAGATCCCCCATGTCTAACTGTGACTCTGTATCTCAGGTCAGGTCATGCACCAACTGGAAGGTTGGTGGTTCGTTCCCGGGCCATCTCAGTCTGTATGCTTAGACATGACACTGAAAACCAATTTGTTCTCCAATAAATGATTGAACTGAATTTTAGAGCTGGTGTGAATGAGGCATGTTGTGCTCCAGTCGAGTGGAAAAGCACTATATAAGAACCAGTCTGTTAATGATGCTGGTATTACTGGAACATGTTTACATCCTCTGGGCTCAAGTAGTGCAAGCCAGTAAGACCAAATTTGTGCTGAGTTTTTCTTAAGATTCTGAAAGCTTCACAGTTTATCATTTATTATTAATAATCCTATTTCTGCATAGAGGTAGGCCCAGAATTAGACAAGAGTTTTTGTAATGTTGCCTCTGTTTACTTCAGTGAATCAAGTGGATTTTAATCAAACAGTCAAGTTATAGATTTTCAGCTATAATTCAAAGGTCTTACCCACAGTATCGCATCGTGTTTAGAAATGACAGACATGTTCACATGTAGCAGCTCATTCTTCTGTCAACGACAGAAACATGAAACACTTGATTTTATAGATGTTTTTCTAATGAACGCATTAAAGCCATACATCCAAAATAATAAATAATCAAGTATCTAACTCGCAGGCTGTTACTTTCATCCTCTGGCTTCGATCAAGTTAAACTAGCTGTAGAAGCAGTGGCTCATCTGGTGTGTTTGTGGCAGAAGGGAAACTGCATGCCTCTATCATACAGGATCTTCAAAAGAAAATGCTAGCAAGCAAACTTGACGACTTAAACTTTAAAGCACCTTGAGGCAACTGTTGTTGTGATTTGGAGCCATATAAATAAAACTGAACTGAATTGAATCTACTTTTAGAAATATATTAAACACAGGATGGGATGTTCTGCATTAACACCCTTCCTTTCAATACTCAACATCTGGCTTGTTAGCCTTAATGTTCACTCTGCAGAGCTGTGGAGTGCAGCTTTAACTGTTCAGATATCTGTCTGTAACTGTTGTTGGCAACACGTTTACATAAAGAATGTCATTTTATAGAGACACACAGATGAGGACAAAAATATTTTCAGTTTGTCTTTTTTGACAGAGCATTGGATTTTCAAAATAGCATTTTTAAATTCTTTAGAAAGCACATATTACTTCTATTTGCACATAAAAGCAGAATCAAAGTTCAATGTAGTTATCCCCCTAACAAACTGACTTTATTGGGCCCCTGCACAAAGCCCCGCTCTGCAAAGATGTGCTTTAACTTCTTATAAAACTGAGAGTCATCTTCTGACTTATACACAGACTTTAGCGAGGGCTCAAGTCGTCAAACGTCACACCAAAATGAAAAGAAAGACTTGAGGAGAAGAATGGTTGATGCTCACAAAGCAGGAGATGGCTATACAAAGTAATGACTGGGTTTCAAAACTGGCATAAGAAGTATGATCGAGAAACTCAAGGAGAACCACACAGCGCACAAATAAAACACGGTAGACGAGGAGGTTCAAAGACCATTTCAAAGACTCTGGAAAGGAAACTAGCAAAACATGTTCTCAAGACCGCGGAACAACTGCCAAGACTCTAGACTTAGCCAAGCTTGGAATCAGTAAAGGACTGCAGACCAAGAAAAAGCCAGACTGAAGTAATCGAAGGAGAACCCTGAGAAAAATGGTGCATGCTGCAAATATGCTCTTTGACCAGATTAGATGAAACTGGAGCGCTCTGGTCACAAAGACCACACACCCCAAGGAACACCATCCCTGCAGTCGAACATCATGCTGCGGGGCTGCTTCAGTGTGTCTGGAACTGGGAATCATGAAGAAGGATATGTGAAGATGATAAAGCACAACTCAAGCAGTCAGCAGCAAAACTGGACCTGGGTCATCGTTTCGTCTTCCAACACGACAGCCCAAACCATACAGTGCTCGTTGTGAAGACCAAAACAAATACTAACGAGCTGGGGACAATCGTTCCTGCCCTTATCTGTAAATACAACTGAACTGACTGCCATGCATTGTTTGTGGATTCAGTCTTGTAAATTGATATTACTAAAAGGATCGTGAGTAAATCACCCAGCACAGTGTGTGACTTGATTACCAGACTGGATCTAATTTGAATTAAGTCTTCCTTCACGAGGCTACTGGACTCTGCACACTATTTTGTATTACTGGAAAATAAAATAATGATATAATCTTCTAGAGCTTTCAGTAAAATGTAAGAAAAACCCCATTAATAAAATGTTCAGGCGCTGTGTTTTGGAACAGGGCGGATCATAACATCAATGTGAAACTGACGCCCAGGCCAGCACTGTTTCTATTCAGCAGTTATACAAATAATTTGGGGTAAGCAGTCAAATATTTCACCACACAGCCACATGGAAACTGGCAGACGGTGTGTCTAGTGGTGCCTCCTAAATATTGTAACTGGTTGTGTAGTACTGGGAGCAATAACTACACAACCAGGGTTGTGTAGTTATTGCCCTCGACTGACAGCTTCAGGGAGGTAAGGCCAAGACAAAACACGCCACATGAAAAATGTTTGGAATTAGATACGAACAAAAATGGCATATTTCACTGACTGAAGATCAATCTACAAGCTTTTCCATACGTAGGACTTATTGCTGAAGGTCAGAGCAATCTACTTTGTCCTCACAGTAAGAGTGCAGCTTTGTGTCTTCAAGTTTTCTGGGTTTTTGTTTAGTTGTTTGTTTTCTCCAGTCTCACATTAGCTTTAACCTGTGACTGGCTGACTAGTGGACATGAAGCAAGCAGAGACACTGGGCGACTGTACCAGTCTGTCACTAAGAACAAGCGTCAGGGCACACTGTTATGTCACAGACGTCTGGTGCAAACAGCTAAAGCTTGAGTTTGATTGCTGTAACTATTCTCTCGTGATTATTCTTAATCATGCACAGGTCAGGTAATAGTTAAACCACTTTGCACTTTAATGAAATGTACCTCTGTACATTGCACATTGTGCCGTTCAGGGTTCAATTCAGGAGTTTCCCAGTTGGGGCTTATCATCTTATTAGTCACTGACTGGTCACAGATGCTACCCTCTTTAAAAATACCAGCTGCTGCCAGAGCTACTTATAGCTGCACATTTGCTATCAAACCTCCGACCCTGAGGTCAAGCTCACTGAGAATCAAACTCTTTCAGGATTTTCAGTAAACTGTATCGATTTGAAAATCCTAGACGACTTAGTTATGATATCGTTTTTGTGTTCACAAGAGTGTTAGAGAACCTGACCTCTGACCTTGAGGTCACTGAGATTTACTCAAAGCTTCCTGTTTACTTGAGTTTTATTCAGTTTTTGCTGAATGTATTTGTTTGGCTTCAATATGATGTAAAAATAAGTGGTTTACATAATCTGGTTTATTTAAGAGGGCGCCATCAACAGCGACAATCCTGAGTGCTTCTATTTCTGCCTGCTGATGGCGAACGACGGTTAAAACAGCGACAAACCTTTTGTCCTTTGGGCATGTACTGGTGACTAATTTCAGCAACACTGACTAGCTCTTGTTTGTAGTAAAGCGTGTTCACGTTGCTTGCTTCTCTCTTAAATTATGCCCAAAGTGTTGGAGTTTTATTTAGTTGAAGCTAAATTAAATGAGTCCTATTCAGTCTGCACACATACGATGTAGGAAAGTCTAAGAAATCTCATTTTAAACAGAGACTAGATTACAAACTGGAACCTGCTGTGGAAAACTGGCATGAAAGTGAAAATAATTAGCAACTGACGTGAGCAACTTAGCAATCGCTCTGCATATACGCAATATACAACGGACTATTAGTTGAAAATATAAATTAGTCATGTTTCTCACAAACAACGAGCCAGGTGAAAGGAGCAGGAAGTACGTTTCCAACCTGTCCTGTGATGTCAGTGATGTGATTGCAGCCATCGTAATAATGAAAACATGAGGTGCAGCAAAGCAGACTCACGGGAAACGAGTCAGACCGAATGGAGTCCATCACAGAGTACACTGTGGTACCTTATCACAGAGTACACTGTGGTACCTTATCACAGAGTACACTGTGGTACCTTATCACAGAGATGTACCAGCATTCTAAGGAGAACTTGCTCATCTGTGTTATGTCAGTTCTGCTGCACTATCCTGTATCTGTGTGGCAGTGTAGGACACATTAGCTGTCTTTGGAAATCGGCTGTCCCAGTTTATTCTCAGCTTAGTCTCAGCAACGCGACTCTAACTTCTGCACACCATGAGAACCAGTTACAGGACTGGTGCCACATAAATACAGACAGACAAAGTGTCTACAGACCGAGGAACGGGTCTACAGAGTTCCTCCCCTCTCTGTGGCAACGAGTCGTCACTGTTGGCCCAACAGACCTTAACTCTTAACGCTAATGAGGAAAAAAAAAAGTCAAAAAAGCAAAAACACCCTCAATTACTTCTTGACAACAGTAGAAATGTGAGGGTGGGACAAGGATCAGGAGAGGCAGGAGGAACTGGGAAAGGAGGTGAGGGTGCAGACTGGGAGGCTGTAATAGGAGGGGTCGGTGAAGGGGAACAGAAGGAGAAAGAAGAGGAGGACCCCCAGCAAATAGGAGGAGAGGACAGTGAGTCGGTAAGGGTGCTCCAGAGCTGTGCTGATGGCAGGGAAACCCATGTAGTTACAGAAGGAGTGGCAAAGTACCGGACCAATCAGGTGGCCTGTAACAGACAGAAAAAACAGCCATTTACTCCCACTGGTTGACAGCGTTACAGCTTCCTTCAGCTTCCCATTCAGCTGTGACAGAAAAACAAATGCTTTGATTTAAAAATAATCCTTTAAATCCTGTAACTGAAAATATTAAAACTGTGTTTTAAAGACAGAAGAGAACATTTTGGACAAGAGGAAAGAATTTTAGATAATCAGCTAACGTGCAGCTTGGACACCAAACTGCTGAGTGATGAAGAGTATAGTTTATATACAGAAGAGAGCGCTCTCATCCAACTGCCGGCCTGTAACCTACCTCAGTACCACAGTACGATGAACAGGAACACTCAATACATGAGCTACTGGTAGACGGAGCAGTTGCTCCACACTGCAAGGCCACACTGGCCACCCTGTGCACTGTGACACTTTACACACTCATCCAAGGCCAATGACACCAACGTCCAGCACATAACTGCTACAGCAAATTTAAAAATGACTTCATCACACTTATTAACTTAATGTCTCTAAATCCTGCACATTTAATATTGCTGGAGACAAGGATAAACTATGACGCAGGCTTGTGGAACAAGCTGCAGGCTGCAGTGTCCCGAACAGTTAACTACATATACCATAGGCCTTTATATACGACTGTTTAATATGGAAAACATTTTATTTTTAGGTTTTACTCAATTACAGTGGTATGCAAAAGTTAATTATAAGTTAATAAGTTAATAATTTTCATGTTTCTCCTTCATAAATCGTTGGTTGTTTGGATCAGCAGTTTCATTTAAACACAATATTTGAGAAGTGAAATGAAGTTTACAGGATTTACAGAAAGTTTGCAATAGTTTAGGCAGGTGCATAAATGTGGGCACCCGCGTTGTTTTATTGGTTTGGATGCCTTCAGCACTAATTATTGAAACATAAAATTTGTTTGGTAAGCTCATTGACCCTTGACCTACATACACAGATGAATCCAGTCATGTGGAAGCGTATTTAGGGTGGCCAGTTGCAAGTTTTTCTCCTCTTTGCATCTTCTCTCGAGAGCAGCAACATGGGAGCCTCAGCTCTCAAATGACCTGAAAACAAACCATGTTCAACATCATGGTTTAGGGGAAGGATACAAAAAGCTATCA